ACGTCGACAAGATTTTTTCAGGTATCCTTTGATTTATTGGAAAGCCATTGGAAATCCTAATACAGAACGCTTCAATACCGATATACAAACCACATCATAAAATGCGCTAAAAATAATCATACGAAATACGACTAAAATAAAATATTTTTAATAAAATTAAATTTCTTAAATTTCACATACTTAAAAAAATTTCCTGAAAGAAGAGATTAATGGTACTCCGTTAATGACACAAATAACCTAATTATAATATGGATTATATGAAAAATCATAAAATATGAGAAATAATTTTCATTGTATTATAAAAAGAAAGTTGATGTCAGTAGATAAATAAAATAGCTATAAGCTATTCACTTGAAATAAATTTTACTTTTGGAGACAAAGAAAAAGAAAAGAAGAATTCTTGTTAATCATTAAAGTATGCCACATGCAAAAAGAGCGAGTTAAATAATAAAAAAACATCACATGCGGAAGGGGGACACTTTCCGTTCTGTTTTACGTGGTAATTATATTGAATCGGTCTCAAGGATTATTGTGAAAGGATTGAAATACCGTCTGCCTACTCTCATTTACCTGCTTGCCTTTTCAGAAGCCTCTCACCCTGAGATGACAACGCACTTTTCGCTAACTTCGACTAACTGTAACTCTTCCTGCAAGATTACGTGTAATTTAATTTTTTCGTGGTTAAAATGATCGCCCTTGCGGAAATAAAATATTTTTTACTCTGCCTTACACAAAGAATAATTATATCGAGCAGCTCTCAAGGATCATTGTGAAAGGAGATTGAAATTCTACCTGGCTGTCTCTTTCCTGAGATTCTGTCACCTTGATGGCAGCGAATTTTATCGCATTAACGGCACGCTGAATCAATAAAGGCAGCGAATTTTTTCCTTCCTTTAGTGCCGGGTTTTTCTTCACGTCAAAAAACGTTACGCTTATCGAAAGATGAATATCTTTTATCTATTAAAAAAAAAAAGAAAATTGTGAAAGGAGCATTGTGAAAGGATCGAAATTGCTCATCTGCCTCTTTCATCATACTCTCACCCCGATGATAATCGAGTTTCTCTCAAAAGTAATTAACAAATCGGGGCAGTTTAACTGCGAGTTTTCATCCGGAATTTTAAATGAATCAGATTTTCATGCTACTCGCCCGCATAAAGTAGTTTTACCCAAGAATTGATGTTCTATTTACTTCGAGTTTTCCTCCTCCCGCAATGAGTGAAATCTTCTTTAAATACATAGTAAACAATGAATTATTCTTTTTATCTTTAAAACTTAACATATCTGTGCAATTAAAATCGTCTAACAGCAAGATACTTTCCATCCCGTTTTCCTCGAGGTGATTTTATCAGGATAGTCGACCAAGGATTATACTGTGAAAGGCCTGAGAGAGAGAGAGAGAGAGAGAGACTCCACCTGCCTCTTTCGAAAGCCCCTCCGCGGGGAGAAACAGCGGAGTTTCCTTTAACCGGTCATCCACAAAGTAGGGCGACCTGCCGGCGGTGACTCCGGCGAGCAGCAAGATTTCAATGTCCGAAGGACAGCGAGCGCGGTAATGATAATCCGTTGGCTGCGCCAACAATCGTTATAGTTGCAAATTGACGGTACACCGTGGCTTTCAATTATCTGAAGAATATGAGGCCGGGGTGATCACGCAAGTGCTTGTCGCAAGCAATATTCTTCGGTGTGATTCGAAAACACCGAAAAACATCGTTCTAACAAAAGGATGGAAAATACAGAAGCAGCCTGCGGCGCTTATCGTATCATTATCTTATCACAATAGTCTTATCATTAGATAAAACGTTCCCTAAACAGACGTGATTCTCTCGCTAAACGTACCAACACACAGTTACACGAAAACAAACACACACACACAATCATTCGATCGCACTTTCATCGTCCCACTTTCTCCGTGTTGTTCGGGACGCATCGCCGGACTGACCATGCTCTTCTCACGAGAGAACCTTTTGCACCTCCTCGGCACCTCCTATCTTGATTCCTCCGTCGTCGGCACGGCGATATTGAGGATAGAAAATGCGCGTGGACGAAATCCGAGAAAGTCCAGGGATTGCATCCGAGTCTCTTTTACGTTAGACACGTCACTGTATCCGGAGGATAACGATTCGAAAGGAAACTCGTTGCCGGCCAATTTGGGAAAGTCCCAACCGCAATGGCGATCGACTTTATACGATCGGCGTTCACTCGTTGCACTGGAATGCCCTTTAATTCTGAATATGTACATTTTATTTCTTTAAATAATTTTATAGATTATTTCATAATTACCAATCTGTACTAATAGATTCTTTAAATAATTTGGAGCAGATTTTAGAATCGATTGTTTACCGTAATGATGATCTCTAAAATCTTAAGTTAAAACTCTGTCGAAGTAAAGTTTACGTAAAACGCACTGAATAATATAAAAAAATCATACTATTATTAATAAAAATTAACATTAAAATCAACAATGAATTTATTAGAAAAATTAAAAATAACAATCAAAGCCATTGAAATTGAAGTTAATATGGAATAAAATAAAGCAATATTTTATTGAAGCTACAAATTGTTCTCTAAAGCTTATTAATTTTTATTTATACTGTTGCTGTGTTTCTATTTTATTAATCGACAAGTCATTAACACTGCGTGCTCGAACAAATGAGGGAAAAAGGAAAAAAAAGCAACGTTGTCTCACGGAGTCATTCATCCTGCGACAATATAACCATGGTTTACGGTACCGCTCGACGTTATCTCGTTAATGCTTATTCGCGAGAGTTCGGTATTCGCGCGGAATTTTTATTTTTACTGGATCGTGATGCGCCGATTGACACTGATACGAATGCGCGATGCCGATTATGGCGAGAGTGCCGCTACATTACAATGCGGCTGCTGTCTTCGCTTCGAGTAGCGTCTCCAATGCGCGGCGCGCGTTATAGCGGTATTGAAGTCACTGCACCGTGAGAATACAGTTACTGCGCTATATTCTCATGAATAATCGCTACGATTACGACGAAGGGTGAGAAGAGAGCGCGAAGTAAAACCGCTACCATTATGAGGATCGTCACGCTTACGTCGCTCTCCGTGAAAACACTTCGCCGCGTCTTCCCGATAGAAGCTCATTGACTTAAGAACGATTGTTAGATCAAAAACAGCAATCTGTTTCCTCACGACGAACCGCGGGATACATCGTAAAGCAAAGATAAACGTCTCTAAATCACGCCATGAATAATTTTAATGACGACGGATTCCGCCGAATCTTATTTAACTTCTCGCTTCAAGAAGAAACTCTATCAAGTTCTCATTGGTTTTTCTCATTTTAATTTTCCTCCTTTTTATGTGTCGCAAATAAAAAAAATCTAATCTTATTTTTTTATAAGATGTTTCAAGATGTCGGATGTCAGAAAGGTTAAATGGCATAACGATAATGTGCAAATAACATGTAATTTACGTTTATGTGCCGCGAATAAAATCTAATCTTATTTTTTTATAAAATATTTCAAGATGTCGGATATCACCGAAAAGTTGAATGGCATAACGTAAATAACATGTAATTCATGTTCGCGAAAAGGAAGCGAGCACGCAAACGGAACGGAGAAGCGCGTGTGAATTAAATTCGATATTCGCGAGGAGAGTTCGTTATCACTGCTCGCTGCCGAAGCCGAAGCAAATCTGAATTTTGCAAATCGCGAATGAGCACGCTCGCGCGATGTGTACTTTCTATTTCTAGTATATACGCGCGCCTTTCGCGCCATATCAGATCGGCCGGCCGGTATCATAACGCTCTTCGTGCGACCGCTCGTCGTGACTTTCTATTCCGAGCATGACTCCGCCGGGCCGATCATACTTAATAAGCGAGGCCGAGGATCGTCGGTATGTGATTACCGCGAAAATCGTGGCACGATTATATCGTCCCGCGGAGACGCGCAGTCAGGTGTAGAACGCCGCCGAGGTCCAGTTATTCGCTTTTCTTGCACGAGAAGCTATATAGCTTCATAGAAATGGTACAAGCAACGCGGGAATCAGCAATTATGCGATGAGAACAATACGAGAAATTACACGTCTCGAAAAGAAATTCTTTAACAAACGTCTGCAATAATCGCTCTCCGTACCTCAATTTCCTTTCCTCCACCTTTTTTTAATCTTCCTTCTTGAGAAGAAATTTCTTTGTAACTTCCTCTTTCCTGTATTTCGGCGCAATTACATAAATAACGAAAAAGAACATGTTGTAACAATGGGATAACACGAGACAGATTACAGAATTCTAAAGAGATTTATGCGTAAAACGGGAGGTTGTGTATAAGGTACAATCGAAAAATGCGCGAAACGAAAACTCGTGGAGGGTCACAGTCTACTTGGCGATATGAACTCGAAAACCAGGAAGGAATGCATATCAAGGCCGATCTCTCGGTGCGCGCGCACTTCCACCCACTGTTCTCTCTCATTATCTCGTTCGGTAAACCCGGGGCTAATTAGAACTCGAGCGTAAAACAGCGAGCTCGTCGCTCGCGCTCAAAACACGCTCGCGGTCGCGAGGAATCGAAGCCGATTTGAACGGGATTTCAGTCGCGTTGTCAACCTTCCGTGACGAAGAGTCATTAATTCCCGGCGGACTGAAATTCTAATGCCATAAATATATATATGTACTTCAATCGGGAATTCCAACTATCGCAAATATTTAAACGAAGAACTTCGACAATTTGAGAGACGAAACATTTTTAGATATGGATTATTTTTGAATATGATATTTATAAAAATATGTACAAAAAAATTATGTATAAAATCAAAGAAGGACAATAGAGTGAAAAAAAATGAAAGAGATAAAAAGGCAATCTTAACAATTCAAAAGCATAGGATTCGAAATTCTTGGATCTATATAAAATTTCAAGATCAGATTTTCAACTTTTTAATTTCTCAAGAAATGTTCGACTTGTAGAGTTCTAAAATATCAAAGCACGTAGAAACATTTAAAAGTTCTACAAATTATTAGACAAATTATTTTACTTATTTAGGGAGCCAATTGAGCGATAATACACCGCCCGTAATATGGCTCGATCGGAACTGGAGGCTTGCGGAGACCTATCCAGTGGGAAACGTCATAACCAGAGTTAGCGCCACGGACAGCGAGCAGGACAAGTTGACTTACGGTCTCGAACCACACGTGGATTACAACGGGAATAAACCTCAGCCGCCCCGGCCATTACCCTTCTCCATCGACAACACGACCGGCATAATTTTTCTCAATGAAACTCTCAAAGGAAGAGTGAGTACTTTCGTCAATTGTCAAAATCTTTCATTTTAGATAAAACTTTTAGCGTTTCAAATAATTTAAAATAATTATGACGAAAATATGACAAGCAAGAGTGATGTTCACAATTAGTTGTGATATAATTTAAAGTATATTTAACTCTTGGCTGTAAAAATAATTTATTAATTAAATTACCCACATTTTGGTATTAATTGGCCTAAATGTGTACCAATTATTTGATATTTCATGTTTATGATTCATTTGACAATATGGAATATTACGAAGAAAGAATGTAATATGTCTTCGATGTTGGACGACGCACAGCGCGTCTACATATACGGCATTCGCGAATGCACTAATGTCAAGGCTCTTGAATTACGATTTTTGTTCATTCTTCTTCTCAGGGAGGCCAGGACCTGTTACTCTACGTGACTGTTTCTGACGGAAAGGTCACAGCGAAGACTGAGGTTTTCGTCAACATCCAGAACACATCGGCACCGAATCGGGGAAAGCCAAGGTGCGTAGTCACATACACACACATATACACGTGTTGACATTTTTAATAGGTCGATGCGATTTATCGTATGTATTAAAAAAAAGAAAATAAACACGATGCAGAACGTAAAAGCCGAATTCCAAAGACAGTGGAGTATGCATAGAAATATTCCAGAGTTATCGTTTAATTTGCATTAATTAATTTGCGCTGAGAGTTAAATTTCTAAAATATTTCGAATTTTTTTAGATAAATAAACATTATTTTAATATAAAATACATAAAAAATACAACTTCTAAATCTAAACATGCTGCTACTTTTAAGCTCTAAAAAAAATTAATAATTGACATGTCAATTTTACCTAAAGTAAATGATTTATGGATGTCGGTCAAATGGTAATTCTGAAATGTGATTTGATAATATGCAAGATCCCAACTTATGATGTTTTTAGTATATGCTGTATTTTTATTGCATCATTTTCAAGTAATTATTATTGTGTCGTATATTTAGAATATTTAATTAAATATTTAATTAAATTCTGTTATTTATATTTATTAGTATGGAACTTCTCAATTTAAACAAAAATCTTTCATATTTAAAATTAATAAATTATTTCCTCAAAGAATAAAATTTATTGTAGTAATTAAACTTATTCTAATTATAATTTATTTTAATTTGTTACAAATTTATTCTCTCATTATATTTATGAAAAGATTTATATGATTATTATTTCGGTAAAAAATGTATTAAATTGAACGAGCTTACAAACTGGTATTTTTCCTATAAATAGCAAGGTATAGGCACGTGACCTTAAGGAGACTCAGCGGTGATCTGTTCTATTATTCATGCTCCACTTCGTTAACGATACGGCTTGAATAAAAATTGCATTGTAAAGAAATAATGTTTCTTATGTAAAAACATCAGAATATCAATTCAATAGACCATTCAGTCAATGAAATATATATAATATTTCTGTGTCTGGAAAAAATTTATATCAATATATAAATATAATTATTTTTTTTTTATTAAACTTGACAAGTACATAATTACACTACTAAATTATAGAGCGCTATTTTTCTATTTGAAATCTATTTGGAACAAATTTCATTAGCGCGCACGTATACACGCATCCAATCATAGATTTTTCTGAAAAAAGAAAGAAAGAATTTTAAAGAATTCTCCCTGACTTTTGAATCTTTCTGGCAGGATACCGTATCCAAGTCAATCCGGTGGCCGGATACGACCGCCGTTTCTCGGTCTGCCAAATCTGCAGACCTTCCCATCGCCTTTACCACCTTTGCCGCCGAAACAGTATCATCCCGAAACCACGAAACTTGAACTGGAGAGAATAAAACCTAAGGACTCCGACAACAGCGTCAGCGGCAGTGCCGCCAGTACCGTCAGTACTGTCACGGAAGAAAGCGTCCACATAAATGAGGTGGAGGGTCCTGCGTTAAGTTCGAAGGTTGCACCCTCCGCCGAGCAGCCGTCGCAGGATATTGCGATGACACTGGTACCGGTGGCGGCTGGATGCGCCCTCGTTGTGGGTCTTGGAATGGGCGTTTATTCCCTGAGGAACAGACTTTGCGGCAGTCGCAAATCCAAGGCGGACACGGTAACTCGAAATAAGATTTATTACAAAAAAAGAAGATATAATTTTTATCTTGAAATAAAGATATTTTGATTCTCGCACAAATTACTTCAAACCAAATAAAGCGAGATATTTAAGCTAGAATGTCATTTTTAGAAGGAACAAGCGTCAGTCAGCGTTTCTAATCTATCCGACGATCCCTCTCTCGTCCTGAAGAGATGGCGAGGTCCAAAGGCTCAGAACAATCGTTACCAGCCGTGGGACAAAGAATTCCAAGCAGGCATTCAGAGTAAGCAGGAGGATAAATGGGAATTTCCCAGGCATAGATTGAAGGTATGATCATTAACTCTTGATCGATATACTCGATTAATTAATCACAAAGCTGGTAATTAAGCCTTCAGTATTGCTACCTTGTTAAAATTGTCAAACGGCTAACAATACAAGTAACGTTAACTAACCAATTAAATTTAATTATTTCATAAATTCATAAATGTATTAAATAAAATAAATTTCATTTATAACCCCACGTAATTATCTAACTAATTAAATAAACAATTCCTTTATAATTAAATAGTTAATTATCATTATTAGGTCTTCAACATCCTCGGCGAAGGTTGTTTCGGCCAGGTGTGGAAATGCGAGGCTCTAGATATCGATGGCAAATCCGGGCCCACGATTGTGGCGGTGAAGACTCTGAAAGAGAATGCCACCGAGCGAGAACGATTGGATCTCGCGCAGGAGCTACGCGTCATGAAGAATCTGGATCCTCATCCCAACGTAGTGCGGCTTCTAGGATGCTGCACCGAACGGGAACCCATGTTCGTCATTTTGGAGTACGTGAGCGGCGGCAAGCTGCAGAGTTTCCTCAGGGCCTCCAGAGAGGAGAGGAATCACGGAAGAGCAGGACTGACCTCCAGAGATCTTACTGGATTCGTGTATCAAGTAAGTGATCGAGTTGTAAATCTTCAACTAGAATCTCTATCTAAAGCCAGCTGATTAAATAAACTCGAATTTATTTGTAGATCGCCAAAGGTATGGAATATCTGGCGTCAAAGGGTATCATCCACAGGGACTTAGCCGCTAGGAACATCCTGATCGACGAGAACCGCGCGTGCAAAGTGGCGGACTTCGGCTTCGCCAGGGACGTAGCGGCAAATCAGATTTACGAGAGGAAATCCGAGGGTAGATTACCGATTAGGTGGATGGCACCTGAAAGTTTGTATGATAACATATTCTCCGTTAAGTCGGATATTTGGAGCTTCGGCGTCCTAATCTGGGAGATCGTAACATTAGGATCAACACCGTATCCTGGACTCGCTGCCGCAGAGGTATGAATATCAATATATAATATAATCTTCATAATCAATTTTGTTAATTTAATTGGCTTGTTAGTTGAATTTTTATTTTGTTCTGAATTAGTCAATTTAATTTAATTCAAAACAATGCGATTGTAAACAACATGTGAAAATTTCTAAATCTAGATTTTACCATATGTTACATAGATTTAAATTGATTAAATTAAAAATAAATTCATAAAATATATTAAGTTGAATTTAAAATAAAGTAAAAATATTAGATCAATAATTAAATTAATAAAATTAAAGATAAGTTAAACCAAATTAAATTAGAAAAATTAAATCAATTAAAAAATAATTGCACGACAAATGATTCATTTTGTATATTACATGGCAATACTTTTCCAGGTAATGCGAAAGATCAAAGAGGGCTGCAGATTGGACAGACCTGAGCACTGTAAAAGAGAGCTCTACAATATTATGTACTACTGCTGGGACAAGGATCCGGCATGCAGGCCGTCCTTCGCCGAGCTCGTGGGTCTGACCGAAGGTCTGCTGCTTGACGAGACGGATTACATTGAGCTCGACAGGTTTCCGGATCACTCGTATTACAATGTGCTCAATCTCAGCGGAGAAAAACTATAAAACTCACGTGATGATCGTTGTGTCACTCGATTTTCGCATAGATAAGCTGCCACACTGTTTCCGCAATAACATTAGAATTTAATTGGATTATATTTTCGCTACATGATGAATTATGTGGGAAGATCTTTTAGACTAAATTATCGAGCCGACAATTTTTCTGCCCTTTTAGCCGAAAAGTGGATTATTAAATAATATGACTGGTCGAAAAGTAATCTTGCATTTAACATTGCATTTTGCAGTAATGCATGTTTAACAAGTTCGCTCGGGAACGATTTGAGCTGCTGTAATTCGTCTGCTCCTCACGGCATAAGACTGTTCGATTCGTTCTGTTAAATACTCACATGTGTACGTGTTAAATATTCACGTGTGTGCGTGCATGTGATAGATACACGATTTGTAACTAAGAACGGAAAACACGATTACATTAAAACGCGCGGTGTCACACTTACAAATCGAAGAAAAGTATTCCTAATACTTTAGTCGCTTATTCATGTCTAGACATGAGCCTGTATATATGTACTGATCTAAACATTGTTGTAAGTTATTGTACAATTGTGTGTTGTAAGAATAAATAAATCTATATACGTCATACACGTTCAGCAATATATATATGTTTCCTATTATATATTCCATATGATTGAGGATTAAAGAAACAACCTGTCGGAAATATCCGTGAGTACATAGTTAAATATGCGCGTTTTGTGTACATAGAGACGCCGGTAAATGAATTCCATTTAAAACGCGGGTACGTCTCTCCACTCTCAGGCTTCTCTCTAGTCTAGTGAAACCTGTCCACTGGCTCCTCTATGTGGATAAAGCGTGTACGTTAAACTACGTAGCCATGTTTCCAACGGGTAACATGTAGTATCTACGGTCTTCACTTTTATCCTACAGCGCTTTGAGGCCAAAATGATTTCCTCTAAGAAATAAAAATTAAAGAATAAAATGTACTCGTTATATAGAATACCTGTTATAATCTTGAAATATTTAACGCTTTATACAATATTTTTTTATAAATATTTATATAAGACAATGATGCCTGATGCTCTTTCCTTTTTTTTTATATGTCCTTTCTAATGAAAAAATTATTTTTAGAGTTCTTCATATAATTTTTTAGAATTTCCATATAAATGTCAAAATTATTCACAAGATCTATATAATTATAACTTCAAAAAAAAATTTCGTAGATTTTTTTACATAAATTGGAACACTTTTCAAAAATGCTAAGAAAGTTTACATCTTTTTTTAGAATTCTTTATAATGTAAATTTTGAAGTATTCTAAAATTTTTTATTCCATATAACGTCCAAAGAAAATTTATAAAATTTCAAGAAGTTCAAAGTATTTTTCAAAAATCTTCATAAATTAAAAATTTGAAAAATTCTTAAAAATATTATGAGAATTTTTTTACCAGAGCTTTCATATATGTATATTTTATACAATTGTATAATCAACTAAATGCAACAATCACGCGAAACTTTGAATAGCATATTAATGTGAAACACTTTATTATTATATTTTATATACGTTGCTCGAAAGATAATTTTACAGTTTTATTTTTTGACATATCTTTTGCTATTTCACTTTTATCAGATTCTTATTTATCGTTAGGATTAAATATGGCATAACTAATGACATAACATCCAAAATATTTATTGAAAATTTTATATCAATAATTAATAATGTTACTAAATACTTCTTAATTACTTCCGATTCCCGAAGTCAAAGGTCCCATCAATATTTAACATTAATCTAAAATCAATGGTCTTTAATAATATCTCGTCGGTATATATATTTACATATGGTACAAATGCTGCAGAAGAGAGTGAAACAGAACTGCAAAGTTGGTGAATACAGCGATAGAGGGTACTGCAATGCTTTTTGTTTAACAAAGACAATTTATTGTCGTCTTATCTATGTCATGCATAAGAGTACATATACGTACTGCATACACGGCAATGAACTGTTTATACAAATACGATGCAAATCGCTGCAAAGATTAGAAGAAACAGAGAGAAAGAGTCACACAGTCCTTGTCTTTCTTCAATTGCTTTCATATCGCATGAAGCATGATAGCGATCATTGTCAAGTATTTTTCCATAAAATACTATGAAGATCTTACAATTAGATAACGGTGACACATTGAGCAATAGCACCAGACTGAGTAACTCGCAGTTTGTAATTCGCTACTTATATATGAGATTCGTGAATAGTTCAAATAGGAAATTCGATTAGTTCGAATAGTTTTCGTCGAGCTCGCATTTGTTATTCATGCTAATTCGCCAGCTGAGCGATTTTGTGACAAATTAAATCAAAGGGCGCGAATTAATCAAATTATGTTGATTCATTGCAGAACTACACCACGCAATTATACTGAATCATGAATTGCAAATAATGTGTAGAGAATTCATTATACTAGTAACTAGACAAATGACGAATTTCTGCAAATCGATTGCAAATTATGAATTACAAATCACGAAATGTTTGATGCTAACTTGGCATTCGCTATTCTTAAATTTGACGCTTAATTATGGACATATCATAGATGAATACAAATTATAAGTTAAAAATTATGTATATATTTTATCATCGTATAAATAATAATTACAAAATAACCATTATTGAAATGATAAAATATACAATCGGCAAAATAGTGCCTGGCAAGTCATCTCGATGTCTTATTTATTCCAAAGTTACGCAATTTAGCCATCCTTCTTTTCTCGCGAGTTTTCGTAAAATCTCTGACGCGCCTTCCGGAAGTCGCGTAAGTTACATCGTTCTAAGACGCGTCTAACACGACGAAGGAAGTAAGAGGACACGCGTGGCGCGTGTGTGCGCGATGCACGTGCGTTCCCGCGCGTGCATGAGTATATACGGCGAGAGAGAAGAGAGGATGAATAACGAGAAAAGAGAGAACGAGAAGGAGAGATAAATAAAGAGAGTAAGATGGGGAAGAAAAGGAAGAAAGAAATGCACAGACTCTGGCTGGAGTCCGCCAGAGGAATATTCAGTGCAACGTATAAAAGCCCGTTATGCACGGCGACCAGTGTGGTTGCACACGTGCACGCGTGTGCATTAGTGTACGGCGCACGCTATAAATAGACGTAGCAGACCGCAGAGATTCTAAGTACCCCGCCTCCTTTCATACGCGAGTCGATAGTGCGCAAGAGCGGAAAACTCACCCATATCTCATGTACAAACACACGGTGTTTCGAAAAATCAAAACTGAAAAAATTCATCATTTTTTTAGATCAACAGTTCTCTTCCTCCTCGTGATAATAATGATAACCATGATAAACGCACAAAGAAGCGTCCACCTTTTAGCATCATATATGTCAATAAAAACCCATTTTATATAATCTATAATTCGCATCAAAATTCAAAACAGGACATACTTTTTGAGTATGTGTGTGTATTTTTTTCTAATATCTATGTATTTTTCAAAAACTTTTTTTTTAATTTACAAACTTACTTGATTTATAATTCATTCAGAACTCAGGATAATTTCATTTGCCATTTAATATGTAAAAAACATTTAAGAGCATATAAAGTATATGTATAAGGTACACATATAACATGACATAAAATTATAAATAAAATTCTCTATCACAAATTACAAATTATCTAAAAATAAGTTTAAAAGAGACAAATAATAAACATATAGAAAAAAAATATCTGAAATATAGTCACGATAAAGATTATTTTTAATGCAATCATATTTAAACGCGATATAATACACCCCCATTTTTTTACTGTTATTATAATAAACTCTTTCTGTCATTAATAATCAGAAATAATCCGTGTCTAGAAGCAGAATTTCACGAGATTACATTGAAGACTGACAAACGACAGACTGTTCGATATTAATGACGCGGGTGGCGACGATGCGTTGGCGGAAGCACGCTGCGGAAGCATGACTTTTTCCTAGGACATCCGCCTCTCAAACTTATGCCTCTTGTGCCGCTTTCCAGAAACGCGGAAGCGTTTCCAGGAGTTATCTCCCGGACTCATGTACCGGCGTAAATAAGGCGTTGATATAACTGTGTTATTTAAAACGCCGTTTTCGCGGGCGCGGGCCGTTATGAGATACCGGTGCAACCGATCGATTCTGGCAAGCGGCTTCTGTTTTCGGCAATGAGGATGTCAGACGAGTTACGAGCAGCAGGTGTTATCAGGCCGCGCGATTCACCTCTTTTTTTCCATATTGTCCACTAAATCTACTTGATCCCTATACCAATCTCTATTTGACGCAAAGCATTTGTCAACGAAAAAATTCCAAGTATTATTTTTATAGATCTTCCAATATCCTCAAAATATCCTCTTTTAAGACCTTCGAATCTGAAAAATTTCTTGGATCCGAAGATGTTTGACATCTCGGTAACAACGTTATAGGAGTCAGCGGAGATCCGTTTCATTATAAGAAGATTCCAAGGACTCCCTCGCAATGTCAGAGATAACATTCCTTGAGGCTGGAACCGAGTTGTACTCGCCGTGCAACAATGCAAGCAACCGGCGCGGCGGGCCGCTCACGTTCCGAAGAACACCGAACGTGATCCGTGTGCAGCGAGCGAGCACGGTGCTGGAAGCTGCAAGGCCGCGAGTGTGATCTCTTCAGGAGCTTCAAGGTCAGCGATACAATTGACGACGCTCGAGGGCGATGCGAGAGCATGCGGAGGGCAAGCCACGGTGGAAAGGGGGAGAGAGGGAGGGGAGTAGGGGTTGACCAGTTCGTTGCATAATTGCGTCACGTTGTCCGGGAATCACTGCCCGTGCAGCACACTGGCACTTTTTTGCAAAAACTTGCGGCAAACTGGATATCCCATCGCATTACACGCGTGTGCTTATAAACGTATGTGCAAAATATGCTCTACGCACTCACGTGTAAAACACGAGGAGACACATCACCTCTTTCACCTTTCTTAATACTTTATTAATACACCCCAATATTAAAATTTCATATAGTTCCGATTAGAGTTCCCACTCTCCTTTAAAAAGACGAAGAATTTTCTACAGTTTCTAGCAAGAGTTCTTACTTAATAACAATTTTTAACTTAAATTTAACACCTGCAGTGTGTATGAGGTTAGCCAACATTAAAATTCTCTAATTTTGATTAGAGTTCCCACTTTATTTTGAAGAGAAGAAAAGTTCCCTATAGTCTATAACGAAAGTTCTACTTAATAACAATTTTTAATTCAAATTTAACACCTGCGCGGTATGTGTGAAATTAGCACCCCAACATTAAAATTCCATAGTTCTGAGTTCCGGCTTCATTTTGAAGAGACAAAGAGTTCCCTGTAGTTTATAACAAGAGTTCTACTTACAAACAATTTTTTCTCTTCGTCTCTCCAAAATGAAGCGGGAACTCTAATCAGAACTATGGAATTTTATTGTTGCTAACTTCACACATGCAATCTGTAACGCGGTATCTCGTAGCTACAGCAATTTTTCGCATATCGTTTCCCTGGCGTGTGCGTAGGTATACGAACGAATAATTTGTGTCCGTAGCTCGCAGACTGGCACGATTAAATGATACAAACGATTAGACGGCCGACTGCAACGTGAAATTATTAACACTGGCGCCGGTTATCTCACG